ATTGACGCTAAATTAATTTAGGTGTCAAATAGGAATAACAGAATTCCACTTAACATGGTTAGATCTATGATCAGTAATGCCACATTATCTCTTTCATTTAAGAGTTTAGCGTTAATGACATCGATGCGCATTATGAACTGCATTCCATCTTAGTCTGTCTCAAGGATACCGTTGAGCTGTGTTTTTGACTATATATTAGTTTGAATCATATGCACATATCGGGTAGTCTTGCACATGTGCGCTTGATATGGACAAGTAAGTTGGAAGCAGATCATAGGCATGCTAGATTTGATAGCTACTCTAAATGTCACTAGGATGGATTATTTTATGATCTCAAAGATAAAATTTAATTGTTTTCACTCACTGTTTATCTATAGGAGAATCATAGTATGAATCACATACCTAGTAGTATAATGTTAGAGAATTTGGTATGAGTACCAGATGTACCACATGTGAACACACTTATTATAGAGATTGAGAATAATATATGAATTCCCTATTGATGCGTTAGCATCATCTACTACACAGATTCTTGCATCGGTACATTGATGTAGTGGGAGGATTATCATCCAATTCGACAGAATCATGTTTTTAGGTGAGACCATTATGGACATCCCTGTTAAACATGAGTTGGACCCAGTAAGCTACACGGAAGCGTGAACCGATGTGGATACAGATCGTTTTGGTGAGTTACTATGAAATCAGAGTTGGAATCGATGTATTCTAATAAATTCTGGGATCTTGTAGAACTTTCTAGTAGGGTGATTCCTATGGAAGGCAAGTTAATCTACAAAAAGATACCAGAAGATTTCTTAGTGAATAAATCATGAGTGTGCAAGGGAATGTCATTATTTTTCTAATTCTATATATATTGATGACATCCTACTCATTTAGAATGATGTGGAAGTTGTGTCATCAATAAAAAGGTAGTTGTTCAATTACTTTTAAATGAAGGATTTTTAAGATGTAAGCTATATTCCTAGGATCAAGCTTTTGCAAGATCAGGTTAAAAGGAAAATAGGCTTATCTTAATAATCCTACATTGATAAAGTTTTGACCAAGTTTGGTATGCATAACTCAAAGAATGAGTTCTTGCTTTATTGATATGGATGGCTCTCTCTAGTAAGTAGTTTTTCAAGACTATCAAAGGAGATTGAGCAAATGAGACTGGAACAATATGTTTCGGCATATGAGAGTCTCATATATGCCATGGTCTATACCAAACAGGACATCCGCTACATAGTAGGGATAGTCAGTAGAGATCAGTCCAATACTGGACTTGACAACTGGTCTATTGTGAAAAATATCATTAAGTACCTAAGGAGAACCAATGATATCATATTCATTTATAGATGTGATGATATGGTCCTAGTCAGGTATGCTAGTTCTGATTTTCAATCAGAAGTAGATACTATGAGGTTCATGACTCAGTGTAAGTTCACTTAATGGAAGGGAGATCAGTTGGTAGATTGTTAAGCAGATTTCAACTGCTGACTCAAACCTGTAGGTGGAATATATTGCAGCCTTAAAGGCGGCAAAGGAAGCCTATTAGTTTGATCTCACTGATTTAGAGGTTATGGAGTATACTAGCCTGCCTATTGAGCTATGTTATGACAATAGTGCAGAAGTAGTCTAAACCAATGACCCAAGGTTCCATAGAGGAACAAGATACACTGAGAGGAAGTATCATGTTCTACATGATATTGTCCGGCAAGAAAATGCACTTGTAGTTAGAACATTGCATTGGAACACAACTTTGTTGATCCATTATCAAAGGTGTCATTGATCAATAATTTTGATCATAATCTGGATAACATTGGAGTTAGGTGCAATTTGAATTGGCTATGAGGGCAAGTGGGAGTTGTTGGGATTTATATGCCCTGGCATAGCAAATTCCTATCTGGATTGTAGTGACATATGTTCCTGACATATCTGAAATATTTATGATTTATATAATTGGTGAATTCAATGTATTATGTTTCGATTCACTATGAAATTGATAGTGTCCATTTAATTACAAGAAATATTTATATATATGTATGTGATGACAATCAATGCATGATATATAAATAGTAATTATAAATTGTTCATAGTCGGTAATTATGGATGCACTCATAATTAATTAAGACTTGAACTGGATCCGCGTTAGGTTGAGATATATTGCGAGAGCCGTCGTATGCAATTACTCCCTATCACCGTCATGGCATTTGACTCTTAAGCATGAGAAAAGTATATACTCTTTTATTAATTAATAATTACTTTGATTTGTTCGGCGGATTCTTCGGGATCCTTAGACCGACACTTTGGGTAGTTATGTAATTAATAGTTAGAGGGTTATATTTTCAATATTTGCATCATTGCTACTTGTATTTATTTTGTATTGATTATGGTTGATCACAAAGTAAATTCGAAGGCCTTCGTGTGTTTTTAGACAAAATGATTTATTATATATTTATTTATTTAAATTATTATTTTTGTCAAACAAATGTTTTATTGTGATCGAGCCAGAAATAATCAAAGGTACCAAAATAAATATATTAATTAAGTAGTCGGATTGATGGCTATATTTATCCGATAACTAATTATGCATAGAGGGGTCAAAGTGCAATATTGACTTAGAGGTTATTTATTATTTAATTGGAGTTCAATTAATTTCTTTTAGTGGAGTAGAAATTAATTTATGAATTAATTGAATTGGGTCCATGGACCGGGCCAATTATTAATTCATTGTAGCCAATAAAATAATAGGCCCAATGGATTCTCACTCATAGCCCAACTTGATATTGGAATCATATTAGATTTGAGACATATGAATTAGAGATGGAGAAGGATTTGTTGTTTCCTTTTCTTTATTTTTATGTTGCCTATAAATATACATGGTCTATGTATATTTTAGGGGGTGATTTTTATGAGAAGGAAAAAGGAATAAATTTTCTCTCTCTAGAAAATTAGGGTTTATGGTCTCATCTAATAGAGGCTCCCACAAGCCTAGTTTTCCAAGGTAATTCATGGAGGCTTATGAGTGATTCCTAAAGGCAAAATAATTACCAAGAAGATGGAGATCCAAGGAGAAGGCATCTTGCTAAGGGATCTACAATAAGTGAGAACATTCACTTTAGAGGAAAGTTTTAAAGGTTTACTCAGACCTTTGATGTAAGTATTCAATCCATTAATTGAATGATACATCATATTTTTATTTTTGCATAAAACTTGTCTCTATGTGATGAATCAAGATCTATGAATCAAAATCCCTCAAAAAGTTTTTAAAACTTGCACGTTTCCCAACATACTACTCATCTGTTTTCTACATACATAAGGACATAGAGTATGATAACGAGGACTGAGGGGCATTTTAATTGATACCATCGGTGGACGAGAGTGACGAGTGAACGTGAACCATCTGAACCATTTCCTCCTAGTTGACAAGAATGTTTTGAACCGTTTCGGTGGAAATAACAAGGTTCGTGGTATATTATTATATATTGATGTGATCGACAGTCTGGTGGAAATAGCAAGGACGATAGTGGATTATATATTCATGTCCTGAATAGTCCTTTCCTTTACCAGGTAGGTAGCTCATCGAAGATGGTGGAGATGCCACACCCTTCCATCAATTTTATTTTGGACTATCCTTATCTAGAAGAATACAAGCTCAAGAATTTCAAGAAAGATATGCAGTGTGAAGTGTATTTCCGGCGCCCGACGTCTGATTATGAGATGTGGACTTTTTGTTATGAGCCGACTCCCTCTCCTTGCAGTAAGCTCGCAGCCCTCTCTTTCTCTCTCTCTCTCTCTCTCTCTCTCTCGTAACTCTCGTGTCTCCCTTAATTTCTCCCTTTCATTTCTAGTTAAAATTAATCATAGGATAAGCTGGTATGGATGTAACCCGTCACACCAATAAAATGTTTTTTTTTCAAACCTGCCCCTAACCCACATTGGAGTTGGGGCTGGTTTGGGACACGTATTTTAACTTATTTTTATTTAACTTCGAATAATTTTAAGATAATTTTGTATTTGATGGAGGCCCCAGCTAGCGGAATAAATTGACATCCTTTAATGAATTATTTATTTGACAACATTTTCAACTAAACGTGTAGGTGGTAATATTACTGATTTGGTACCTCACATCCCCACCTCCAATCAAGCGATTACTGAGAAGATCAAATATGCACTTCTACGCTACCGTGATAATTGCGGTTTGGATAAAATCCTAATTCAGTTTTGGGCTGTTGAAAATAAACTTGATTTTAGTATTTAGTATTTTCAAGTATTTTTGTATCCATGATGCATGTGTTAATTTAGCATGTTAGTGGATAGTAAATTGTCTTAGTGGGAGTTAAGGTTATGTAAAATAAAGAGTCATGAGAGTTAAACCTAACAAATACTATGTTAGTGGGAGTTATGCATATTGAAGATTATGTTAGTGGGAGATAGGAGAGTTATGGACATTTAAATGTAATGGTTACACATACATATGTGAGGCCTATATATTCATGTACTCTAGTCAAATAATAGATAAAAAGTGAAATAAAAAGTATTTTCCTCCATTTCTATTCTCTTCTAAATAGTATAGTGTTGTGTGTGTAACTAGGCCACTATTTCCAACAAAGTGGTATCAGAGCCTAGACGATCCTGAAGGCCAGACGAAGTTGATCCTAGAAGGTTCAACATTTGAGAAAAACATGTTTCTCCTTGATGATGATGAAGGGGAAAAAATGTATTTTCTTAGTGAAAAGATGATGTTCTCTAATTACAAGAGAATGAGAATCATCATGACTTCATACCTCAAAGCATGCGATTTGTGGGATGTTGTTGGAGAAGAGCCAAAGAATGGTATATCCAACAAGCTTCATGAAAAGAAAGAAGATAAGGCATTTGTAGTGTTGCAAAAGGCAATACATCAAGAAATTTGGGAGTATTTTGGAGAGTCCAAAACTCCAAGTTGTATTTGGAAGATGCTCGAGACCATTGTTTCCAATCATAAAGGTGAATCACTACCCATGGAGTATTGGGTACAATGCTTTGAGAATGATGAGTTTACGAAAGATGATTATGAAAGTCTTGAAGACAAAGTTGTGGAGAATGAAGAGGTGTATCGTGCAAAAGAAGTTGAAGATTTTGGAGATTCAAAAGTTGAAGGAGAATTTGAAATGGTGAATAAGGAAGAGGTAAGAAAAGGTGTTAAAGAAGAGATTGAAAAAGTGAAGGAGGATGAAGTGAAAATAGAAGATTTAGAAGAAGGAAGTGCTAAAGAAAAGGCAAAAGTTCAAGTTGGTGAATTAACATCTTCAGGTATGGTTACAAATTCCACCTTCAAAGAAGTTATATTTGACTTATTTGATGAAATTATTATTTCTTCATATTCATCAAATAATGCTTATTTTGTGGAGAATGATGAACTTCTCTTAAAGAAAGTTGTTCCAAAGAAGTATGAGATTGAAGCCCAGGATGATAAGAAATTCTCATATTATTTTTTAAAAAATAGTTTGGAGATTTTTATAATTGATACAGGTTGGGTGAATATGGAATTATTTTTTGACTCTAAAGAAGAAGTATATGTGAAGTTGAAAATCCATAAAAAAATTTAAGAAGAAAAAAGATCAATGGTGTGCTTGTATAAAGAGGATGATATATGATTATGTGAAGACATCAAACAAGCATTTGAAGAAGTTTCACAAGCCCTACACATCAATGGAAATGGCCAAGAAGATTGAAGCTATTGAAGGAGGTGGAATTGAAGATCAACTATCGAACTTTTGATCAAGCCCCCAAGATTAATAAGAAGGTTTTTCAAGTTACAAAATCAAGTTTAAAGGGGGGTGTTGAAAATAAACTTGATTTTAGTATTTAGTATTTTTAAGTATTTTTGTATCCATGATGCATGTGTTAATTTAGCATGTTAGTGGATAGTAAATTGTCTTAGTGGGAGTTAAGGTTATGTAAAATAAAGAGTCATGAGAGTTAAACCTAACAAATACTATGTTAGTGGGAGTTATGCATATTGAAGATTATTTAGTGGGAGATAGGAGAGTTATGGACATTTAAATGTAATGGTTACACATACATATGTGAGGCCTATATATTCATGTACTCTAGTCAAATAATAGATAAAAAGTGAAATAAAAAGTATTTTCCTCCATTTCTATTCTCTTCCAAATAGTATAGTGTTGTGTGTGTAACTAGGCCACTATTTCCAACATGGGCACCCATCAGAACAGAAACTGGGCGTTTCCTTGTAACTTCAGACCAACCTTTTGCTCTTACTCAACTTGATGAACGACTTCTCGGGTATAGGAAGCACTGTTTGGAATGTAAATTTATTGTGGACGGGGATGAAGAACAGCTTGGAATCCCAGGCCGTGTGTTCCGCCAAAAATCGCAAGAGGGCACTACAGATGTGCGATACTACTCCAGCAAAGAGTACCCACAGCGTAATTTTGCTATAACTTGCGATATTGAGGCTTCTGTTGCTTTCCCGGTGTTTCAACCCTGGTCCAAGGACTGTGTTGGAGTACTTGAGTTCGTAACTAATAATACACGTAACATCACTTTAGACTGGACGTGTAATTACTTTTTGAGGAATGCACTCAAGGTTTGTTGAAAACACTAATTTGTATCTATATTCTTCTGATTAATTTGATGAGAACTTAGCTGATCAGATATGAATGCATCATATTTGGAGATGAAATGAAAATCACCGCTTGTGTTGGGATCTTGTGTTTGCCACGCTTATGAATCAACTATGTAAAATTGTTGCCTCAGCGATCTTGTTGTGTTGGCAATTGGCATAGGACCAGGGACGGACCCAGCAGGGGACTAGGGGGGGCAGATGCCCCCCCTGAATTTTTAATATTTTCATTTTATACCCTAATGTTTTTAAAATTTATGAAAATGCCCCCCCTAAAATGACAATTCGCCCCCACTGGATTCTTTGTTTTTTAGCATTTTATACTTCAAATTTTGATAATTTATGAAGATGCCCCACTATAATTATAATTTGCCCCACTGATTTTTTTTTTTCATTTTATACTTATATTTTTTTAAAATTTATGAAAAAAACCCTACTAAAATTACAAAAATAAACCCATCATATAATTTTGTACCCACAAATTAAAAATTCGCCCCCTCTCACCAAGTTTTCTGGGTCCGTCACTGCATAGGACATCCTGTAGCACAAGAGAGGATCCGTGTTTTTGGAGATGATATGAATTTACCTTATCGTTAATTTAAACCTTACAAAATTATTCACTTTCACTTCTCTTGCTGCAGGATGTTGGTCTGAAAAGTTCTTGGTGTGATTGTTTAAGGTCTTAGGTAAGTTACAGTTGTATAAAATGCAAATGTGAGATATGGTTCTCTTCTTTCCTCATTTATATGTTTTCGATCAATACTTTGTTCTCCTTAACAAATGTCTATACTAAACAACACTTGAAATTCAGATTGACAACAAAGGTAATCGAGATGCACGGGATGAAATCTACAAATGGTTGAAAGTGGTGTGCAGTACTCACAAGTTACCTTCGGCTCAGATGTGGGTTCCGTGTAGGCATCACCGGACTGTGGCCGATGATGGTAGTATGGACAATAGCTCTGATACGTTTGATACAAGCAGCATGGGAAAAGTCCTACATTTTCAAAGGGCAGCCTCCTATGGTCAAGATAACAGTAATCCTACAGCGAAATTCTTAGGGATATGCACACTAAATAACTTACAGAAGGGGCAGGGAATTGTTGGGAGGGCATATCTGTCACGAAAACTATGCTTTTGTAGAGATATAACACAATTCAGCCTATCTGAATATCCATTTTTGCCTGAGGCACGCCGTTTTGGGTTAGTCGGCTGTTTCACTATTTGCTTGCAAAATACTTGCACTAGACACGATGATTTCGTACTAGAATTTTTTCTGCATCATGAAATTACATGTGATGAAGATCCAAGTACCTTCTTCTGCTCGATATTGAAAACAATGAAGCAGCATTTCCCCCGCTTTAAGCTTGCTTCTGGAGAAGAACTTGAGAAGGGATTATCAATTGAAGTTATTAAACCTTGCATGAATCAGGAACCTGCTTCTTTTCAATGCCCAAGTACTAGATCTCCGTCTAGGTCTGGAGGCTTACAAAATGGACAAGAAACGATGCAGCCACATTCATCAAATCAGCAACTAATGCTCGAAGATGATGATATCAGCAATGGAAGGATTGTTGTTAATGCACAACAAAACAACACTCCTGCTTCTTGTTTAGATGAGGCAAATTCAATTACTTATGAGGAACTCAAAAAACATTTCGGAAAGAAACTTGAAGATGTTGCACAAATTTTTGGTGGTAAGTTACACTAATTGAAATTATTGCTTGTAATCTTGCTTTTATTATTTTCAATTTTTGAGTTTCTTCTTCTAGAACTAATAGATTCATCTTTTGCACTTACAAACTATATGAGTTTTTGTTATTGAATTCTTATTTTTGCAGTGAGCAGATCTACGTTTAAGCGTAAATGCAGAGAGAATAAAATCCACCGCTGGCCACAAGGCAAGAGAAATAAAATTAGCTGCTCTCCCTCTCGACCAGACGTTCCATGTTCAGATTTGCTTGCTAAGAAACTCGTGGCTACTGTTGCTCACATGACTATAAAGGCGAAATATGGAGATTATGTGATAAAATTTCAACTACCTTTAACATCAAGAATAGTGGAGTTGGAAGAGAATGTTTTCAAGAGGTTGAAGTTAGATGTTGGAACTTATAATATCACATATAATGATGGAGATGATCAGGTATTAATAGCCTGTGATGAGGACTTGCAGGATTGTATGATTGCTTCCAATTCATTCGGCATGAATACAATCAAAATGTTCATTGAGCCAATTACCAAAATATCACCTTCAACATGACTAATTACAACTATGTGTTACCAAAATGTTCATTGAGCCAATCCCTAAGCGCTCTATATTATTTTGATGATAATTGTATTCTTTGTTGGGATAGGTTATTCAAAATGTTTTGATGAAATCTAAGGAGTAAAGGATGTAAGAAAATTCTAACATAAATAAACACATTAATTTAAATGCATAAATTGATAGAAGACATACCAGATATAGAAACTTAGTTTGGAGAGAAGTACAGCGGAAACGATTTTCAACCCTCTCATATGTCTGCAAAATCGGATGATGGACTGTAATACCCCTAATTTCAAAAGGATAGTCCTGGTTTCAAAAGAATAGTCCTGGTATTTAATTTATTGTTTTAATTGAATTATTAAATTGTATTTGAATTTAAAATTGTTTAATTTGTTGATTGACGTGTTTATTTGCCATAATTGATGACTTGTTATTTAATGGTGATTTTGTGAATTAATTAATTATTAAATTGTATTTTATTTTCTGTATTAATTATAAACTTGTTTTTATTTTCTGTTTTACGTTACATTGGAATTTATTGTTTTCTTTAATTGAATTGATTATTAAATGTTTTAATTTAGAAAGTATTTTAATTAATTATTCGTTATGAAAATATAATTAGGGTTTTGTTCTTAGAGGGCACGTAGGTAGCCGATGCAGGGTTTAAATTAAGTTTTCTCTGGGTCGGTTAGGATTCTGTTAGGGCTTAAATAATTTAGGTTTTGTATACCTCTATAAATAAACATATTAACGTTAGGCCTAGGGTTTAGAACCCTATTCACGTCTGTGGAGGTAGAGAAAGAACAGAGGAGGGATTTCAGTTGGGATCGCTGGAACCTTTGAAGACGACGTAGAGATTTTGAACAAAAGTCTCAAAGGCAAGTTCTAATCCTATCTCTATTCCTTAGACTTGTGTTCTTTGCATATCTAATACAACTCCAGGAAGGTAATAATGATTAAAAATTAATCTGCGTCTTCATGTTTCTGATGTTTTAAAACGGATCGTAGTTGTATGATTAAGTATTGCTTGTTTTGAGGTTTCTTGTTTAACCTACAATTAAATGCATGTAAATTGATGTGTATAAGGTTTTAATTAATCTAGAACACATGGGAATACAGTGGAATTAAACTAGATCATATGGTTGAATACTGAAATCAGTGAGTGTTCAGGAATAAACGATTATTTTGTTTTAAGTTTTGTTGTGTAAGTTGTGTTCCGAAGTATAACTGGGTTTGTCTAAAGATTTAAATTGTCTATTGAACACACTGGAACTTAGTTTAGAGACCTAGAAATCTTAGGAACTGAGGACAAACAAACTGAACGTCGCCGGAGTGGACACAGGGGAAGAAAACATGCAGAGAGGAGGAAAAGGGGAAAAGGCGGCTCCATGGAATCATGGAGCCGGCTCTAAAAAGATTTGGAGGCGGCTCTAAATAGGTTGGAGCCGGCTCCATCATGTTTGGAGGCAGCTCCAACTTGTTTGGAGCCGGCTCCTTCATGGTTTTTCAAGGTTTTCTAGTTTTGGTGTTTTTTTGGCGATAATTTGGGCTACGGAACTCGGATTCTGGGATTTTCAGATTCTGTAGGAAGCTATTCTTGGGTGTTTTGAGATGTTCTAAGTCTATTTAACACTTGAGAGAGTGGATTAATGCTTAATAAACCAGCAGGAGTTTATAGCTTGAACATGGGTAAGTCTCGACGGAAAGTGTTTTATTTCAGTGCAGAGGAATTCTGAATTACTGAACCCTATTTTATTTATTCTCTGTGAATGGAAATTTTATTAATATGATATTATTAATAGTGGACAAGCATGATAATTAATATAGTTTTATTAGACTTGTCATGGTTGTATGGATGACAAGAATAAATTATCTGCATGCTCAGAGTAAGATAATTTGTAACGAAGATATGGGATGAACATAATGCTTATCTGTTTAATTTATGTTCATCATGGAATTAATTGATATGTCTTATTATTTTGATCTATTAGTTACTGGAGTAATCATGTCAGTCTATATTTCTATGTATGCTTTTTATGTTTCAGTTGTTATGTGCATTGATTATGTATGCTATCAACTGTTGGATGGATGGGATTGTATGTACCGGTATGGGATGGTGACATACTAGGTTTGGATTAGCTCAAATTGCTAAGTCCTACCTACTTTGTAATAACGGAACGAATCACAAAAATAGAATCCTCCTTATATATAAGTCTGTACAGTTGAATAAGCTGAATGACTTAAGTCTATATAGTTGAATAAGCTGAACGACTTACTAGATTTCTTATGGATGAATGTGAATGGATTTTAAATATATTATTATGGTACCGTGACTTGAGTTTGAGTCTCAGAGTCAACGGTTAGGGAGCGTATATGCAATAGGACGCATATCTGGCTGTGCTGGTTGAGGTGTACCCTGTTAGGCTTAGGTAGTCATGCCCACTCAGGTGCATTTTGCATGGTACCTTCTACTCAGGTTGAGACCCGTATCATAGTTCAGTGAGAGTTCATAGTGTGTGTGTGTGTATATATATATATATAGACACGGATTATATAGTTATTGTTGAGTTGGTTAGAGTGTATATGCGTATCGAGTCTCTGCTTGGATTGTAGTAGGTTAGAACTTGTTCGTGGGCCTGACCCACTCCTATTTTTCAGGTGTATGTCTGAGTAGAGACGATCTTCCATTCTACCGACGATGTAGGACTTCTTTCCAGATCTTGGATTTGGATTTCATCTTCAGTTTTACTTTCATTCAGTTTGGGATTTCTATTAGGGGTCCACTAGAGATGGATTCCTGAGTTGTTTAATTTATGGAGGTTGTTTTGGATTATTGGGATTTAGGTATATTTAATATTAAAAGATTTTATATTTTAGTTTCTTTCAGCTTATTATATTATTTCTTTAATCACTTTGTATTCTGTGTTCGTTAAAAATATTAATTGTTTGATATCCCTTGGGTTTGGGCCTGGGCCTGGTCAACCCGTGTCTCGGATCCGAGGGGTATCATATTTGGTATCAGAGCACTCCAGGTTCAAGTGTCTCTAGGATGTTTCGTATTAAGTCTTCCGCATAACGTTTTCTCTTGATTAGAGCTTAAGTTTAGGATTCGTTGAATTCTTTTACGGTTCGCTAGAACGTACTGATGTCTGTCTTTCCGTGTTAACAGATGGTTAATGGTAGGAGAAGATGACAGAATGTGCAAGGAAATAAGAGGCAGAGGAGAGCGGCACATAGGCAGCAAGAATGCCTACAGTGTCAGCTAATGGAAGAGGAGCAGCAATTGTCTGGATTTGAGGATGACAATGGTCAGTTTCGTAATGAGCAGGAGAAAGTTTAGCAAACTCCGGGTCAAGTTAGAGATCCAGAGTTTCCTCCTCACCTTAATGACTTCGTTGCTCGGGCCATAGAAGCTGGGGTAACAGCTGCACTTCGGAATCAACCATTGGTTCAGCAGGCACCTGTACCAGCACCGGTTGTTCAGACTGACTCATGGGAAAAGGCTAGGAGTCCTTTCACAAAGGGGAGTCCACCTGTGTTCTCAGGCTCCATCGATGCGAAAGCAGCTCACCAGTGGAAACAGGACATTGAGCGGCATCTTCATTTGGTTCAGTGTACGGAGGTTCAGAAACAGATGGTTGCTACCTTCAAACTAGTTGGAGATGCACTACAGTGGTGGGAGTCAGTTACCACATCAGATGAGAGGATGTCATTGACCTATGATCAGTTCAGTGCACGCTTTGATGAGAAGTACTTTCCTTATGCAGTCAGGGCAGCTATGAAGACTGAGTTTCTAAGTCTACAGCAAGGGAATATGATAGTGGCGGAGTATGAGCAGCAGTTCACACGCTTGTCTCTCTTTGCACTGGATGAGGTGGATACAGAAGAGAAGAAGCGCAACAGTTTCGTCAAGGGACTGATGTGGTCTATCAAGAGAGCTATTATAGGTAGTCCAGCTTATACTACCTATGCTTAGGTGGTAGACGCCGCTATACAGCAGTATCAGTTGACCGTGGACATCAGATGGGCCAAGGGTGAGAAGCGGGGTGACAGAGACTCTGCTAACCAGTCAGCTAAGAAAGGGAATAGGAACGAACACCGACAGAATGACAAGAGCAGATTCCGGGGACAGCAGCCTTGGAAGAAGCACAAGGGTGGTTCAGATGCTCCCAGGGATATGACACCTGTTCAGCGACAGCAGAATGGGGGACCACAGGCAGGACAGGGTTAGCTACAGGCTAACCGACAGAGGAGGCCATTTGGTACTTTCCAGGGTAGTTGCTATACTTGTGGAGAGTATGGTCACACTTCCAAGCAGTGTCCAACAACAAGACAGGGACAGAGACAGGGACAGGGACAACATGTACAGCAGGGACAGAGGGCGCCAGTGCTTTTACCAGCTCCACAGGTTCCACGGATTCAGGGACAGACACATCTAGCGTTACCGGCACCGCCGTAACCTCAGGGATAGGCACCACAGCAGTTACATTATGGCAGGGTGTATAACCCTAAGCCATAGGATATGCAGGCACCTCAGGCTGTTAAGGGTAAGTTTCCTATACATGATTTTCATGGACGTATTTTATTTGATAAGGGTGTTACACACTCATTTGTAGTTAGGACTTTTGTTGTTTTATCTGGGATGAGGACGAGGGTATGCACTAAACCTCAGGGTATTTCTACACCATTGGGCGATATAGCTATGATACATGAGAGTGATGGGCCTGTGACACTAGATATTGGCAGACTCAGATTTCTAGCCAACCTATTGGTCCCGGACATACACACTTATGATGTGATACTTAGGATGGATTGGTTGTCTCACTACCATGCCCAAGTTAATTGCTTTGATAGGTCTATTGTGTTTACCATACCTGGTCAGGACATGTATGTCGTCACTATGCCTCGTTTTAGCGGGGACATTAGCACCTATTTGTTCCATGTGGATGAGGAAACGGATGAGGGGACTACTGTATCATTGGATAGCATACCGATTGTACAGGATTTCCTGGATGTATTTCAGGAGATTCTAGGGTTGCCACCTAGTCGCGAGATCGATTTTGTGATAGACTTAGCTCCAGGTACTGCGCCTATTGCTAGGGCACCCTATAGGATGGCACCAGT